GCCTGCTTTAAAAAAAGTCACTTCAACATACAGGTGGCTAACAGACACATGAAATGATGCTCAACATCACTCATTAAGAGGAAATGCAATACCTGTCAGAATGGCTAAAATCAAAAACACAAGAAACAAATGTTGGCGAGGATGTGGAAAAAAAGGAACTCTCATGAACCAATGCAAACTGATGCAGCCACTGTAGAAAACAGTATGGAGGTTCCTCAAAAAGTTAAAAAATAATTACGATATGATCCAGTAATTCCACTACTATTTACCCAAAGAATATGAAAATATTAACTCAAAGAGATATATGCACCCCTATGTTTATTGCAGCATTATTTACAATAGCCAAATTATGGAAGCAGCCCAAGTGTCCATCAACAGATGAATGGATAAAAAAGATGTGGTATATATATATATATATATATATATATACACACACACACACATATATATGTGTATATATATATATATATATATACACACACACATATATATGTGTATATATATATATATATATATAGGATAGATAGATAGATAGATAGGAATATTACTCAGCCATAAAAAAGAATGACATCTTGCCATTTGTAACAACATGGGTGGATCTAGAGGGTATAATGCTAAGTAAAATAACTCAGAGAAAGACAAATACCATATGATTTCACTCATATGTGGAATTTAAGAAACAAAACAAACAAACAAAAAGAGACAAATCAGGGGCACCTGAGTGGCTCAGTCAGTCGAGTGGCCAATGCTTGATTTTGGCTCAGGTCATGATCTTGGGGTCCTGGGATCCAGCCCTGCACTGGGCTCCGTGCTCTGCAGGGAGTCTGCTTAAGTACTCTCTCTCTCCTTCTCACTCTGCCCCTCCTGCTGCTCACTCATGCACCCTCTCTCTCTCTCTCTCTAGTAAATAAATAAATCTAAAAAAGAGAGAGAGAGAAACCAAGAAGCAGACTTTTTTTTTTAAAGATTTTGTTTTTTAATGTATTTATTTGACAGAGAGAGACACAGCGAGAGAGGGGACACAAGCAGGGAGAGTGGGAGAGGGAGAAGCAGGCTTGCCACCGAGCAGGGAGCCCAATGTGGGGCTCCATCCCAGGACCCTAGGATCATGACCTGAGCTGAAGGCAGACACTTAATGACTGAGCCACCCAGGCGCCCCAAGAAGCAGACTCTTAACAAATTGACAGTAAACAGAGAGGAGATAGGTGGGGGGGAGGGGGGTTAAGAATACACTTAATCATGATGAGCACCAAGTAACATATAGAATTGTTGAATCACTACATGGTACACCTGAAGCTAATATAACACTCTGTGTTAACTATACGGGAATTAAATTTTTTTTTAATAATAATGAGAGAAAAAGTCCTTCAAAATAAGACACAAATAGAACCTACCTAATAGATCAAAATTGGTGTCAATGTTCTAGTTCTTGGCATTGGTGATAGGTTCATAGGTATTCCTTACATTATTAGTACATAAAAAAACTAAAAATAAAATGACCAATGATGCAGTTTGTCAGAAGCAAAGATTATGATCAATCTAATTCTATATACATAAGGTCCGTTTAAAAAAATAATAATGGATGGGACACCTGGGTGGCTCAGTCGGTTAAGCGGCTGCCTTTGACCCAGGTCATGATCCCAGGGTCCTGGGATCGAGTCCCACATCAGGCTCCTTGCCCAGCAGGGAAACTGCTTCTCCCTCTCTCTCCCTCTGCTTGTGGTCTCTCTGTCAAATAAGTAAAATCTTTTTAAAAATAAATAAATAAATAAAAATTAAAAAATAATAATGGTGTCAATCTAGCTCTCCAGGCTAATCTACCTTCCCTCATGGATCTTACATGCTAGTAGATAAAGAAAGACAACTAACAAAAGTAATCCCTAAAATTTACAGTATGTTAGGAGTGAAACTTATTTTGTTTACTACCAGTTACTTTTTCTAAAACGTAAGCTCCAAGAGGGCAAGAATTTTTTCGTTATTGTATCCCCAGCACACAGAATGCCACCTGACACGTAGAAGGTGATCAATAAGTATTTGTTGAAGGAATGATCAATATATGGCAAAATAAATGTTCAGCAAATGTTAACTGCTACTATCCCTATCACTGTATCTGTCATAGGCCTTCCCTACTACACGTTCAATGATAATGGGAAGTGAATTTTAGAAAGCCAAAACGTGGTGGAATCTGAATGAAATGCTTCAACAATGCCTTCAACAATGCTGGAATCTGAATGAAAACTTAAATCTACAGTCTAGACCTCCACCAAGTGATTCTTATGACTTGAACTACTCAGTTTCTTATGCTATATTCAATGAGACTATGTAATATCACTAATTCACATATCTCAGCATACCTTACAAAAATGTGTCTTAATTTTAAAAATGTTTGTGTAATGATGCAAAAGAAAAAAACTTAGGCCAACTGACATTAAGCAATTTGCCTGAAGTCAAACTTATTAAAGACAGGGTTAGTACTCTTGGACTCACAGTATCACTTCAGACTCAGCACTACCTTCTACCATAATAAGGATACTCAGTTTATACTCCTGAATTTCTTTTCATCTACTGTTCAACTTTGCCACCAGGTAGTTAAACAGCTGTATATCCATAACTTTTGACAAAATTATAAATATCAAGGCAAGATTTCTGGCAGCACACAAAAAGAGGGCAACAGAAGTTAGAAGTTACCATGCACAAGTAAAACAAAGGAAGGCTTGTTTTTGCTTATCCCAAAACATATCAGAAGATAGCACAAAATGATGGCAGAAGAAAAGCAGGCTGAAAAGACCAACGGCAGTTGAAAGATAAGGAGAATCAGATTTTTAATAGGATGACCGCTACATTTTTCTGTGGACTATATTATTTTTCAGAATTTAAGAAACTATCAATTGATTAGTCAGTATTTTGGTGTACTAGGAATACTACTAAATGGGGTAAGGAACTGAAAGAAATGTAGGGCAGTGACTCAATAACTCAGTTGGACATCAGATCAAAGGCATTCCAGTTTACTAGAACTGTGTCACAAATACTAGACGATGGCTTTCAAACAAATACACGGTCTGCACAATCTTGAGTAAGGCACTAATTTCATACAAAACATGTCCTAGTCTCCTTAAGGTTATATTGGTCTCAACTTCACCACCAACCTTTCTTAAGCTGCAGTTTCGTCTTTGCTCCATAACCTTTCCTTTGTGTTTGATACTGCTCCTCTTTAGGAGGACAAACCTGGTGTGCTGAGTTCACTTTGATATCTTCGCAGCACCTGGCAATTTTAAACTTTTTCTTCAAAGTCTTTCCTCCTTGAGCTTCCCTGACCTGCGCATTTCTGGTTCTCTCATACTACAATTCTACGTCTCTTTAAATTATCCTTTTTCCTCCATCTGCTAACTATCCCTTGATAAACAGACTGCATTCCACAGTGTTAACCAACAGCTCCACATAACTGATTCTCAGATCTCTACTTCCAGTCTCCATCCCCACGATCCATTCAGGTTACAGCCAATAACAGACACTTACCTGGTCAACTGTCTCCTCAATCTAAATATGTCCCAAACTGAACTCACCCTCTTCCAAACCACCCTCACCCCACAACGAAACCAGCTCCCGTTCTCAACTTCTCTGTCTTCATCCATGGTACCACAGCTCTCTCAGCTCCTAAGACGCAGACCTTTACTCACCTCTGCCTCTCTGTCTCCTTCAGTCATTAAGGTACTGAAATCTTTACTTATGGAGACAAAATCAGGAAATGATCTACAAAACTGGAAGAAAAAGAAAAGTGCCACCACGAAAGCAAAGCAATTAAAGAAAAAATAGTTTGAATATTAAAATATTGGGATTTGTCAAATATTACTAGAGTTTGAAGACAGATATTTGTAAATATGTGCTATGTAAAAACCTAGATGTCTGGCTATCATACACATCCAATCACTGTCACCTCCATCTTAGAATTTCTTGTCTTCATAGCCATCCCCTCCTGTCTACTCACCAACACCATTGCTCTAGTTCAAGCTTTCCTCACCTCACATCTCAACCAATCTTGCCCCTCTTCTCATCCACTTTGCCCATCAACCTCTGACAGCAATCAGTGCTTCAAATTTATTATAACATTCACTTGTCCAAAGACCTTCAGTGACTCTTCAAACTCCTTAGTCTGGCACATAATCTTTTTTTGGGGGGGGGCATATAATCTTATATTCCATTCTGCCACTGGGATTGGGAGCCCTTCCACTTCAGATACATCCTCACAGCTCACAGATTGAAGGTGCCCATGCAGGTGTGAGATCAAGAAATGACTGGTAGATCCAACTCACATTTACAGCTTCCTTTTTATTCTCTTTCTCTCCTCCTATTTTTCTCTTCATAACTTTTCTTCTTTTCTACCACTTTCTTATACTTCTTTTTCACCTTCTTCTCTATGCCAATGGCAACCACAGGAATTTCTAATCCGCAGTTATTCTAAGTACTAAAAAGACTGACCATTGTTCTAGTCAATAGTTACCAATAAGAAAGACTCAGACATGGGGTGCCTGTCTGGCACAGTAGAAGAGTATGTGACTCTTGGTCTTGGGGTGTAAAGATTACTTAAATAAATAAATAAAAACTTGGGGGAAAAAAAAGAAAAAGACTCAGACATAACAGAATGGAAAATGGAAGGAAGGAGATCTTAGCTGTGGAATAACCATGTATCCAAGCTTCCCGTTGCAATTCTAAGACAAAAATCAGGAGTGAGGCCATACAAGCTCCCATATCTGATGATGGAGGCCTCACTGAGGATGAAAAGTATGCCTTGCCACCCACTTATTCAGGAATACAGAAGTAGCATAAATATAACATCTCTCAGTATAGTTTTCTAGATTTGCCCCTATATCTCATCCAAAGCTAGACAGAGCCCTGGGTTTTCCTCCAGTATAGATAAATATCACATGGAAAAGAACTCAATACAAAATAAAGGAATCTTGGGGGGAAAAAATTTTATTTTGTCAAATGTTTTATTGAGTGTAGAATCTGGAGTACTGTAAAACATGCATTATCTGTAGATTCAAAAAGGAGCAAGCCACATTGTCCTCACTGTCAAATGTGTCAGGCTTGGAATACATGATGGAGATTAATGAAGTATCATGAGAGTAATATGGTTCCTGAAAAGCATCTACAATTTGGAGTAGGGTCTTAATCACGTGAAAAGCAAAGCTGTTCACATTCAGTGAACTTGCATTTCACTGGCGGTACACAGTATTTTAATTTTAAAACAAAAATAATTCTGTTTTTAGAAGATTCCCATTCCCCAACTTTATTTTCCCCTCAGTTTTCAGAAATGTTGATTTAAAAAAATCATACCCATTTTTGGAAGTTGTACATTTATCTGAATAGTAACTAAAATTTATTTCTTCTTCAGTTGCTGAGTTGTATTAAATTTGAAGAAGATAGTATCTCCATCTTCAACAATATAATTTCTGCCTTGTTGTCTGTACTTTCCAGCAGCCTTGACCACATTTTCAGAACCTTCCTCTTTAAAATCTTCATATTTCATTACTTCAGCCATAATGAATCCTTTTTCAAAATCTGTGTGAATCTTTCCTGCAACTTGAGGAGCCTTTGTCCCTTTCCTGATGGTCCATGCACGTACTCCATCTGGGCCTGCAGTATTCTAGTTGGAGTGCTGCAAACCCAGCTTTAATGATGGTTGGCAAAGCGCTTTGTGTCATGTTCACTTCCAGATACTTCTGTCTCTCCTCAGCACTCAATTCTTGCAACTTGGGTTCCAAGGCCCCACTAAAAGGAATGACCAAGGCACCTGGGTCATACTTGTCCACCCACTCTTTAATTTTTATCAACCATTTGTTTTTCTTTCTAATGTAGTTTTTTTCCAGAAAGATTAACCAAGTAGACATTGGTTTTGAAGTCAGAAATAAGTGTTTATTCAACACTTCAATCTCTTTGTCGTTCCAATCATGATAGAAGCGAACAGGTTTCTTCTGATCTATAACCCAGGATTTGACTTCGCACATTATATCATATTCAGGTTTTAATTTTTTATCTCCTCCTCTCACAACCACTTTTTCCAGTTTATCTATAATGGGCCCAATCATTTCCTCATCTTTAAGCTGAAGTTCTTCGTGGATTATTTCTATATCTCGAATAGGATCTACATTTCCTTCAACATACGTGATATCATCATCTTCAAAAGCACGTGTTAGATGAAAGATTCCATCACAGGCACTGATACAAGATAAAAAGGCATTTCCCAAGGCTTGACCATTGTGAGCTCCTTTCACAAGGCCAGCAATATCCACTACATTTAGAAAGGCAGGAATTTTGCTTGCTGGTCTGTGGTACCGGCAAAAAAAGTCAAACCTTTCATCTGGCACAGGTAGCCGCTTTCATTAGGATCAGGGGTGCAGAATGGGAAGTTTTCTGCTGAAGCCTGACTATTGGTTAATACATTGAAGAAGGTAGATTTCCCAACATTTGGCAATCCAGCAATACCAATTTTCAAGGAGGTTCCAAATCTTCCAATGATTGGGGTGGTTTAATTCCATCACCTCCCTTTTTGGGGGGGCATCATGCTCGGGGCGGGCAATGACACGAGGTCCCAGCGGCAGTGGGAGACGGATCCTGCCGGAAACGGGAGGTGGGGAGGAAGGAGGAGAAAGCACAGGCCCGGCCCCTCCACCAAGCAGAAGGCATGACTGCGCGGCAGTGGTCGTCAGGAATCTTGGGAAATTTTTAATATTCTCTTCTCCCCCTCCCCACAACAAACCAAAGATAGTTTATCTTTACAGAGTCTGTAATTTGTCGGGTTAAAAAACATACTTTCTTTGCCTTTCATAAATTTCACATTTCAACTGCATTTTCCTCTTAGGCTGGATTTACATCTTCAAAGGGAAATGAATTTCCTTTCCCATTTCATAAAACGTTCTGTTTTTCACGTAAATGAAATATAACAAACAATTCTCACTGTACTCACAAATATTTAAACCCCCAATCTGAGGTCTACGGGTTTCACCTAAAAATGAAATTGCTGTTGATCGCAGATATATATCACACACATACATACATACATACAATTCACTCCTCTCTCCTTAGCCCTCATACTTTTTACTCCTAAGAAGGAAGAATCAGTTTAATTGAAATCCAGGTATTTTTAAACTTATCCTCTTTCCTTTATCTCTTCCTGAGTTAAAAGCAAAATTGGGGGCTCTATGCAAAAAGCCAGACCATATGTATTCTGACAGTGTATCTTTGTGAGAATGCAAAAAAACAGAGGAGCGAAAGATGACTTCTCGGTAACTGAGGAGTAGTGTTTATATTTAGGATTTCTCTTCCTTTCAGTTTTTGGCATATAGTTAAGCACCAAACTTCCTAGGAAAAAAGGACCCAAAACATTTATAACCTTTCATTGCTCCCATATCTGTCCACTGGATCGAACGTGAATCCTCATTCAGAGCCCTGCCCTAGGCAAAATGTAAAATGTTTGTTTGTTTTAGCAAACCTCCCTCTCTGCATTCTTCACCCTTCCCCTTCTCTTTGTAACTGTATATCCCAGAAATCTGCTGCTCCCTGCACAGCCCCTGGGAATAATTTCTAATGGTAGGATATTAAATATTATATTATGAGGACACTTATTCATTGGAAGAATACTTATTACTAAGCACCAACTATTGACCACTCGGACCTTCCTCAAAATGTCAATCATTGTTCCTGGAAAAGTTCTGTAATCAAAATTTCTTGTTTTTTTGGTTTTTTTAAAACACTGGATTAAACAGTGTTCTCAGAACATTTACTATGCAAATGAGCACCCAGGACTCTACAAGAGGCAGTTCTGCCATGCAGGGAATCCCAGACTTGTTGGACCAGTGCTATTTTCTTTTTTTTTTTTTAAGATTTTATTTATTTATTTGAGAGAGAGAGAATGAGAGAGAGCACGAGAGGGAAGAGAGTCAGAGGGAGAAGCAGACTCCCCGCTGAGCAGGGAGCCCGATGTAGGACTCGATCCCGGGACTCCAGGATCATGACCTGAGCCGAAGGCAGTCGCTTAACCAACTGAGCCACCCAGGCGCCCCGGACCAGTGCTATTTTCAATGAACATCGATCTGCTGCTCTGCAAAAGGGTTTGGAAGAAGTTGTGCTTGGAGAACTGACTGAAAGCAGAGAGCAGCTATGTTGCAGTGGAAGAATTAGAAATAGCCTCATGGGAGAATATTTGAACCAGGTCCTAAGGATGGATAAAATGTGACTGTGCAGAAACGGGAAGAAAGGCAGAGAAGCCACGTGCAGGGCAGTCATGGGGGCAGCACTTCTCAATCACTCTGTGTCATCTGCCCTGCCTTGTGCTCTGGGCTGAACCTACTCGGAGGCAGATCTGTTCCTCAGACCCCACCAGGCCCCAGACAGGCATGAAGACACAGATCCAAAGAGGAGGGAGAGCAATGAGACTTCAGGTAGGAGAAAAGGGCCAACTTCCTGATAGAAGGTTGTGAGCTAACTTCCCATCCACCCCTACTTCCTTCCAAATATTTCCTTATTTAACTCTCTTTGGTCTAAGCAAGTTAATATATCTTGCCAGTTGCTGTTTTTAAATGACAAATCCTTTTCTATGTATCTATAAACAAAGTTTCCCAAATGTGTAAACTATACTACAGCCCCACTTTGTTTCAGATGTAGAGATCTGCATGTCAAGTTTTCAAAAATTATTGCTTTCTAGCAAAAGGAGATATGCACTGTGTGCAGATAGTTCCAATGAGTCAAAATCATTCCCTTCACTTCTAAATCTCTCAGACAGGGATTATTAAAGAAAAATATTTTTGAATTTCAAAATAAACATTTGTCTTAAATGTATGCATGAAGCTAAACCAATGGGCTAAATTTGCTCTAGAAGTATGAGGAGGGGGCGCCTGGATGTCACAACCGATTAAGTGTCCCACTCTTGATTTCAGCTCAGGTCATGATCCAGGGTCATGAGATCGAGCCCCGCATGGGCTCCGCCCTCAGTGTGGAGTCGGCTTGAGATTCTCTCTCCCTTTCCCTCTCCCCCTGCCCTTCCCCGTGCTCGCACTCGCATGCTCTCACACTCTTTAAAATAAATAAATAAATCTTTAAATTAATTAATTTTAAAAAGTACGATGAGATAAGGAGTACTTGTTAGTATTCATAGAACAGTGCTAAAAAACCCCACTTCAATGTATATTTATTGAAAAACAACAATAAGAAACTTGGAAAATGTAAAAGAAAAAAAAAGCCGAAGAAAAAATACCAAGAGATAACTGCTATTTAATAATTTCTTTAAAACTAAATTTTGAGGGATTCCTGGGTTGTTCAGTCGGTTAAGCGTCTGCCTTCAGCTCAGGTCATGACCCCAGAGTCCTAAGATCAAGTCCTGCACGGGGCTCCCTGCTCACTCAGAGCCTGCTTCTCCTTCTGCCATGCCACTCCCCCTGCTGTGCTCTCTCTCTCTCTCTGAGAGATAAACAAAAATCTTTAAAAAAATAAAAATAAATTTTGATAATTTAAAATAGATTTTTTAAAGTGATAAAACATACATAACATGAAATTTGCTCTCGACTATTTTTAATTATACGGTTCAATGGCATTAAGTATATAAAATTGATTTTCACATCCAGAAAACTCAGGCCAGTTCAGAAGAGCCATTTGGCCCTTAAACAACAAAAAAAAACTATTTATTGATAATACATAGGGAGACAAAAGAAATATCCTCACAGAATACTTAAGTAATATCTTAATAAAGCCTTCTATCATTAATGGGGAAATGTTACATGAATAAGAGGAATTATAAACATCTACTTTCTTACAAGGTTGGCAAGGACCTGCTCACATTCGGGTTTCTTCACTTCCTGCTAAATGCAGCCATGTGCTTGGAGGTGCAGAGCCCTAATTCAGCATTTGCTACCTTTACCCAGTGTTAGAAATCCTGGCAAGCAGCCCCGTTGCTGAGGTCACACACCAAGCACTGCTGTAAGGCCAGGCTTGCCCCGCAGCCTTACCCTTCCAGGAAGAGAACAGCCTGATCTTTGCACACACCGCCCAGAATCTCATAGGACAAGTGTGGGGGTTCATAGGAACAATCTGTCAAACTTTCCCTTGGAAAATTAAGTAGTGCATAACTACAAAGCTGGAGAACCTCTCAGTCCCAATCATTTCAAAACAGCAAGTGTAAAGGAGACTTTTTCTAAAACCATACCCACAACTTCAGCCCAGGTGCTCTCACCCCAGAACGCATGCTTCTGAGTCCTCCTGGTATAAAGCACAGATGTTGTCTATTTTGCTTTATTTAGAAAGAAAAAGAAACAACAGTTTAAATCCCTTGCCTGAAGTCAGTTGGAAAGCACGGTGACAACTTAGGAAAGGGACAATTAAGAAGGATCAAATTCTTTTTGACCCTGTTAATGCACACGCTGTCTCTAAGGAAGAAGAGGAGAGGGGAGAAAGCATAGTTCTTGGCATCAAATCAAAGGTGCACATGTTCACATGTAAGTGCTAGTACTTACACTGGAAGACATGACTATCTTCAGGCAGCTGAGGAGCACTGAAAGCATCAGAACAGTGAGCTAGAAAAAAGTGTCCTCATCAAGGTCTGAAGCAAGGGCCAGCTCCGGAGGAACCACAGCAGTACCACGGCCCAGGGGAACCTGCTCTGGGATTGAAGTGATAAGATGAGGCCTGCTCAGTGCCAATCAAGTGTCCAGCATACCCTCTCTGCCCATTTGCAGATGAGCCTGTGGCAATCCTTCTACAGCTCTTGACAGGCTTTACAAATGATCAAGAATTATCATTTGCTATGATCCTATATGTGCAAGGGACAGAGTCAAAACCGTGAAACCCTGAAGAAGCTGAGGCTTTAGAGAAATAAAGTAACTTCTCCTGAGGTTCTCAGGTAGAAGCCACACAGACACAACGCAGAGTGGGTCCATTCAGCTCGGAAGCCCACGCCTTTTCCACTCTTGCTCTGTGCTTGGCTTCCCAGAGGGACAGTTTAGAAAGTCCAATTTAAGCTCATAAAGAGAAAGATCTTATATTAAAACAGGAGTTGACAAACTTCTTCTGTAAAAAAAAAAAAAGTAAATATTTTAGGCTTTGCAAGCTATGCCAAATATTCATTTTTGTTTTCTCTTACAACCCTTCAAAAATATAAAAACCATTCTTAGCTCCTGAGGTTATACAAAAACCAGCCATGTGAGCCCTGTGTTAGAACACAGGGTCCAAGCAAAGCTCAGTGATTCTGATGGATGAGAACTGTGTCACTGACTCAATGTCTTAATTTACCAATGTGCTTTTTGCTTCCAGATGGGGAGGAAAGAGGAAGCCAGGAGAGAATGAGTACTCCATCTAGTCACTTCATATACATTGCATTATTAAGTGTAAAGAAGAGCGGTCCCTTACTTAAACTCCTTCATTGGAGTAGTTTTAGAAGCTATCCTGCATTTATTTCATTTATTTCTTCTTTCTATATCCATGCCTTTGCCTATTCCAAGTTAGGCATTAATCTGTCACTGAAAATCAACTCTTTCTGCAGTCTAATTAAAACTGACTATTTCAGTGGGCCATAACATAATGAACAGAAACGTAGGTAGATTTGAACTAACCACGGGCTCCTTCAGTATGATCAAAGGCCTCTGGGGTTCTGCTATTTAAAATTATAGAAAATATTTTCCATTCACTTTATGACACTTGTAAAACAGGCTTTTGAACACTCCCTGCAACTTACAATAACCATCAAGTCAACCTAACAGATGTTGCAAACTGGATCCAGTTCATCAACACTAGAGCACATAATGAAATGCATTTCAAATGACATTCAGATTTTGAGATGCTAGGCAAAATAATGTACAATTTATAATCTCCTTAATTATCTTAGATACTGAACTTGCATCCAGGATTTGCTCTCAGGCCCTCCATAAGGCATACTCTAGCCCTGTGCCCTGTCAGTTGGCTGACTAACCTCTGCCTTGGTCCAGGCAATACAACCCTAGTGCCAGGTCCAAGTGTTTCTGGTTAAAGTATTTTCAACTCTGCTGATTCATGCCCAGCTGCTTGGTAGCTACAGAGTGGAAGCAGAAGATGGCCACTAGGGACCAATTTAACAACAACAAATGTTATTTTCACTGTTAAGCTAAACAAGTTGGAAGCCAGAAGGCAACAGATTCCAAAGATTGGTACCGTATCTCATAAGCCTGTGTGCAGAACCTCGTAGCCCATTTTACAGGTAAATAAATACAGGCCAATTTTAATCACAGGAACAGCTAGCAAAATGGAACAAGAGTAAGAGCAATTAAAATGCTCCCTTCCAGGATTTTGCTCCCTTTGTCCAATTGCATAATCCCCTCCCGTGAAACCCAGGGCAGTCAGGAAAAAGAGCTGGCCTAAGACCTACTAACACAGATAAACAAAGACTGGAGAAAGTGACTAACTCAAAAAGCCTGTAACATGGTGCAGTCAAACAAGGAAGGTGCTTCCTTGTGTACAAAGGGCATGGCAATTTCAGTCGTGATTAAGACACCAAGCAGAGAAAGGAAAGGAATCAGATGTGAGTTCCTCCTAAGGACATGTAAATGTGCTAGGCATTTTACATACAGTATATGATATAATCATCATTAACTTATAAGACAGGAATTAGTACCGCCATTTTACAGATGGAAAAACTGACCCTCAGATAGAAATTTACTCAAGATCACACAAGTAGGAACTGCCAGGGCTGGCATTTGAACTGAGTCTGTCCGGGATCAAACCTGCCCTTTCATTTCATCATTCTTTGTTACCCACAGGAAAAATACCAAAAGAGAGTATGAAGTAAACAACATTCAGGAGGAGTTAAACAGGCAAATAGTACTGGTAAGCAGCAGGTCTCCAAG